GATGATTGACTGATAGTCATTCTTTCAATTCAGAAATGACTGTTGGCTGGTGTACTCACAGTTAGCCTTATCTCCCCATCAGGATAGGGCCATCAGGACTGTTATTGATGGTTAATGTCTGGGTGGGGGAAGAAATCAGGGAGGCAACTACCAGGATCAGATAATATGGTAACTACCAGGATCAGATAATATGGTAGTTAACACCTTAACAGGGCTACCTGTGAGAAGTCAGGATGAGCTGGGGAAGGAGCATCTCCGTCACAACTATAAATGCTGTTGGAGCTTGCATTTTTTTAGGCCATACCAACTTTAATACTACATAGGTTTTTGGAGCTTCTATAGATTTTATGCAGTTTGCTTGCATTTGTTACTGCACTAACTTATTCAAATCACTAAGCATTCAACTTTGAGATACTTAGGATGCATGCTGACATATTTGAAACGCAAAACCTGATCCCCGAGTAGAAATAATGAAACCAAATTAACTGTAGATTTGTGTTCCTTCTCCTTTAAACCGTAAGCTACTACAGTAACCTCAGCGCATATTGGGCTGCTCAAGATGACACATAAGCAAAAAAAGAAACAGCACATGTGGGAAACGGAGAAACCGTGAGAAACTGTGGGAACGGTGAAAGTTAGGAGTGAGAAACTGTGAAAGTTAGGAATAACAGATTAGCAGATAGAGAAACCTAAAACACAGGCTGGACGCACCGAGCTCTGGTTGGTTACCTGTTGTCCGTTAGCAGGATTGGACCCAGATAGCAATAGAGTCAAGGAATTGGCTGGAGGCAGGGGGAGGGAGCGTGTGGACAGCGCATGGACAGCGTATGTTCACATACTCGGAGAATATATAAGTTTGGTCTGATGCTCAATAAAATGGCTTCTGGTCCTAAACCTTAAGCCCCTGCTCCTTTCGATGACTCCCACAAGCACACATTACAGTTAGTCCACTGAGAGTCAATTTAGCTGCTGTCAAATAACTTGCGAGACAAATTCTGTCATCTCTCCCTTAATTAAGGCACTAACTTGTAGTTCTCTCCTTGATTTTCATGTACTTGCAGTTGTCAGATGTGGCTGAAATTTGACAGCCTTTTGACAATAGTTTAGTTAGGACAATAGTTAGGAGTGGAAAAATATTTTTTGACAATAGTTTAGGAGTGGATGGACTGGAAGCAAGATCTTAGTAGCATTATTTCTTCAGGAAATCAGGTAAAAGTGCATTTTCTATACATAGCTATATCATTAACACCAATAAATCTAGTATCAATATTTTACTCAATAAAACTAGTAATTCACCAGACCAATGAAATGAAGTATTTTTACAAACAGAGTTAGTTGGAATATGAAGGGAAAATCAACATGCTTCTGTTGCAATGGCATCTTACTGTTACACTAGCACTTGGAATTGTTCTCATACCTGAGTTTCAGGTTTGTATTTATCTACCCATGGCTCATTTTGAGATCAGCTCTGATTTTGCCTGGATCGGCTACCAGACGAGTCTACTGACAACGACTTCGCCCTTTTTCTGGGCAGATCCTTGTTCTTGCCACTTGTTGGCAAAGAAGACAGGGCGTGCTTCTTCTGGAGGCAGCTTCTCCCAGCGCCACCTTCTAGTGCCTCCCCAGGGACTGTGCTAGAAGAAGTATTTGTGTTTCCGAATAAGTCATCAAATGAATGTGCCAACCAATTCGTTACCTGGCCAAAAAAAAAACAAAAACAAAAACAAAAACACAGTTTTCTGTTAATGCAGAATAATCTCTTTTTAAAAATTATGTGAGCTCATTTATATGGTTTTCATATTATGGCCAAGTTTATGTTTTCTCTCACACACACACCTTCCTTGTTTGTTTTTTGCATTTGTAAAAAGTTAGAACAGTTGACAGGGAAAATATGTTTTCAGCAGCACAGAAAAAAATCAAAGATTAGTATTTATGCAGGTAAACAGTGGACAAATCTAGAACAGGAAACTCTCACCTTGTCAGAAGTCAGCCTGACCGTGAGGAGCAGCAAAGATGTAGGCCAGTATGTGTTTTGGAGGCTGAGAAACAACCTGCTCGAATGGGCGTGTAAGTTTCCACTCCAAGTCGCGTCCCACACGCTGCTCGCCCGAAACCACCACACGAGCAGCTCTCCAAGCAGGGCTAATGCAAAATGGGGCAGCAAGAAGATCCATGCCCCCCAAAAGGCTCCACGGCTACCCGGCGCCAAGTCAAAACAAAGGCGGGCGGGGCCTGGCCCCAGCCGCTGGCAGACACCGCGGTTGGCGCACTTGACTCTCAGTCCTATTCAGACAGGAACTATTTCAACTATTTTTAGTTTACTTTGCGAAACTAGCAGCCAGCCTCACACCACTGCCTGAGAGTAGTTTTTTCCCCTCTGCTTGAAGGCACATTGCACCAGGGAGCAAAAAAAAAAACCCAAAATAAACACCCACAAACAAACAAACAAAAAAAGCGTTACACCCGGAGAAAGGCGCTGAGGAGCCTCCCCTCGCCCTCCAGGAGGGGCTCACGGCTGCCCCGGATGAGGATGAAGCCTGGCTGCCGCGTGACACCATTGGTGCACGGCGGCGGAGGCCCCGCGTGTGTCTCCTAGGCGACCAGCGCGGTCTGGCCGCACGCCACGAGGCGACCCAACCTCCTGCTCACCGGTACGGAGTGGAGCGAGCAGCCGCACGGGGCCGTCGCGGCTGCGAGTCCCCAGGGTAGCGTGATGGAGTGGTGCCCCGGCCAGGCCCGGGCTCGACTCTTTTTGCTGGGAAGTTGTCTGAAGGAAGATTCCGTGCAGTGCTCTGACTGTTGTCTGCGTTTTTGTCCTCAGGTACTCCCGGTGTTGGGAAAACCACGCTAGGCAAAGAACTAGCCTCGAGAGCAGGGCTCGTCTACATTAACTTTAATACTAATTTTGCTGCAGGAGAACTGTATGAAGGTTTTAATGAGGAATATGAATGTCCAATTTTGGATGAGGACAGAGTAAGTCCAGCTTCAGGATCTAGCATTTTTGTATTTGCCTTTCTGTGATTACAAGTAGATATGACTTTTTTTTTTTCCTGTAGGTAATTGATGAACTAGAAGACAAAACGAATGAAGGTGGAGTTGTTATTGATAATCATGGCTGTGATTTTTTCCCAGAAAGGTGGTTTCATATAGTATTTGTACTTCGTACGGAAAATTCAGTTTTGTATGATAGACTTGAAAGCAGGTACATCAGTGGAGTAAATAAGGAATGTAAACTGCTATTGTATAACTTTGTTAAGAGTTACTTCTGGGGTATAAATCATTGATTCTATATACAATTTTGTATGGTTCTCTGTATATACAATGTGGGATTTCTGAAGGCCAGTGGTCATGCTGTGAGCAAGCCAGACCTAGATGAAAGGGCAGAAGGGCACCAGACCTAGATGAAAGGATGAAAGGACTGCTGACTAAGAGGTAAGGAGTTCGGCTGAGAGTCAGATAAGGAGTCAAAGAGTTGAGACAAACAGGAAGAGGGGGACAGTCGTTAAATGTAAGGACACATGGGCACTGCTAGTTAGCCTATCACACTGTATACTTAGACGCGTAGACGTGGGGTCTTAAGCAATCATTGTAAAGAAGCGCTCACGTGTTCGGGGAAGCCTTGCATATAAGCGCGCTTGGAACCCTGAATAAACTGGCACTGCTTGATCACATTGATCGTGTCCGTGGTGTCAGAGACCCCCGCGTCGACAATACAAGGTAATGACTGACTTTCTACGAGTTCTTGTCTTGTAGGGGCTACAAAGGGAAAAAGCTGCAGGACAACATTCAGTGTGAATTCAGTGTGAAGCCATGTCATCTTATAGAGAGGAAATTGTGCACCAGATATCCAGCAACACTCCAGAGGACCCAGAGCAAAATTTGAATCAGATTATGCAGTGGATTGAGCAATGGATGAAAGACAATTGATATCTGGAAGAAAAGTAACTCCCTTCATGGAGGGGCTTAATAAGTGACATTCATAATTCTTTTATGGTAAATCGAAATAAATTTCATTGTAGTTTGTTTTGGCTGGGGACTAGAAGAAGTTTCATAATAGCCAATTCTAAGGGTTTGGAACAGCCTCGGAAACGTTGGGGGTAGGCACAGAGTAGAGCTGGCTCCAAAGTGGAAATGAAGCAGTGAATGGAAGGATTTGATGGCATGGTTGCCTTTGAGCTTGGAGTTTATGGTTTAAATTAAACCTTTTCATTTCCCTACTAAGAAAACTGTAAAATTGTAATGGCTGATGACAGTTGTGATGCCTTTGCTTGCTGAGGGTAAGGTGAGTATACTGAAAAGGAGATGGGTAGCTTCTCAATCATTAGATTACAGGTCGCTGTATTCTGCTATGTTCTTAAGTATGTGGGAGCTGATGTAGAATGAGGGTCCGTTATATAGTTTAAGGATAGCTCTCTATTTTTGAGGTAAGAGATTTGACCTAGTGAGAAAGCTCTTTTTGAATGTTTCATCATAGAAACATCAGCTATATCTGCACTCATATAGAAGAGTTGAGTAGGAAGTTTTCTTTCTCTTTTTTTCTCCTGTGTGTTCTCTATCGCCCATGTCAAGCACGGAAAGTATTTATCAGCGTAAGCAGTAGTACATCATTTTGTAGAGAAGCAATCCTCCAGTGACTTAAACAATGGTTAAATTTAAAAGGTTGGTGCCTCTCTATTCCAATGCCTTGTGCAGCGTGAGTGCTGGAAGGGCACGTGCTGTGATCCCGCTTCCCTGAACAGAGGAGGGACTGAAAAGCTTTACAAGGGATCCCGTGGGAAGTGCTTGCCAATAGGCTTTTGTATATGTGAAATTGAAAAGTAAAACTATTTATCTGAAATTTGTATTGTGAAGAGGTTACATATTTAAGTTTTTTTTTTATTATTCCAAACGTGGTGTAGAACTTCTTATGAGAGTTACAGAGATTAGTCTCAAGTTCCTAGGAAAGTGTGAATTCCTGTCAGATTTCTGTCATGATGACGTTTCTGCGCGGGCTGCAAGTGGAACTGTCGAAAGCCTGAAGTCTCGTGGCAGAATTAACCCAACAGTGTGGAAATGTGTGTGTGCATCCCTTGCCATTTAATAGGGTCTCTCCCGGGGCGCTTGCTGGAGTGGGAAGTGTTGAAGGAGGATGGATTTGGGCAGTGCCTGCTCAGGTGCCTCGGAGTGTCTGTGCGGCGGCAGCCCTTGAGATCGCCTGGACTGTCTGCGACCGCGTCTCTTGCAGTAAAACAAAAAAAGACAAGTGTCTAAAAGCCGTATGGGGCTCCGCGGCTCTGAGTGCCTAAGAGCGGTGCCCGGCCGGGTTCCTGAGCGCTGCCCGTGGCAGCGCCATGAGC